GGTGGGAGAGGTCCAGGTTGGATATTAGGAAAAACTCTCTCACTAGGAGGGTAGTGAAGCTCTGGAATGGGTTACCTAGGGAAGTAGTGGAGTCTCCATCCCTAGAGGTGTTTAAGTCTCGGCTTGACAAAGCCCTGGCAGGGTTGATTTAGTTGGGATTGGTCCTGCCTAGAGCAGGGGGCTGGACTTGATGATCTTCTGAGGTCTCTTCCAGCTCTATGGTTCTATGATTAATATATTATTCTAAGTCAATGAATCAATCACTATTTTGACCAAATGTTAAATCAAGATAGTTTTTATTATTATAATGTTCAATTAAGTAAAAACATTTTTAAAACTACATTAACTTAAATCATTTTAGTAGAAGACATTATAATCCAAAAATCCATCTGTGTTTCAACACACTTTAATATGCCACGATTTTATTTAACTTATGTTCTCTAATATGGTTCAGTATGTACAAAAATAAGAATGTTTACATACATTAACTATATTAAATGTATTTTAGTCTCTAAGTTATGCATATAACAATAATTTTTCATGGCTATTTTAATAAAATTAAACTTGTTTCAACAGTTTATAATATCTGTTATAATGAATGTTCTTTATAACCTTTTCTTAATGCTCAAAGTATTCTATACTTATCATACACATTTTTCTAAAGAAGATCTTTTTATTTATATGCATCTAACTTGTAAGAATGCAATTAAAATATTCATTTCTTCTAGGCAAAGAGAAAACTTTCTCTAGATAAATGCAACTTACTGACAACCTGCAAATCTTTAATCAGAAAATCATCCCTCCCCCCACCCACATCAGAAACCCAAATAACTTATTGTAAAAATACAAATTCTTTTTTGTTTTTGAAAAAACATATAAAATGTACATGGTATAATAAGCACCGTAATATCTTGATTGTCAAGTAATACAAGTTACTGATATGAGATGTACATGCTTATACAAATGAGAGGTTACTTCATTGATGTTTGCTTTTGCTCATTCCATTTTTCATAATCTTTGGCAGTCTCTGGCCCCTGATGTAAGCATGATACCAGAAGTGAAGAAATAGAATTAAAAACATAGAGCCATACAGCCAAATGATGAATATGAAAACTGGATACTGGTATGGACAATCATCCATAAAGTAGATTTGTCCAATGTGAACTGTAACCATAAGAAACTGGACCTGGAGGAAACAGACAAGGAAAAATATTCTCGGTTATGCATTATAGCTCTGAAAAATGAAAAAAAAAAGATATACTAGACAGAAGTTTAAATAGCTGTGAGCATAATGCACACACATACAAAAAGAAGCTTGGGGAGAAATATAATTTAATGCAGACTTGCAAAACAACACTCTCCCACTTAGCTAAGGAGATGTGTTTTCTGATGAAGTAATGTGTGCATGCATGCATGTTATGAACACTATCATGGTGCTATGACATGGGAACAGATAGATCCTCATCAGGAAAAGCAGAGAAGCAGCCCTCTGCCTGCCAGAGGAAAAGGCCTGTCTGAAGCTATTTACCTGGTGGCACATTCTCAGAGATTCTGCCACTCCTTAAGTTGACTAGTCTCACTGACTACTTGCATAGTAGTAGACTCACATTAAGCAGAGACATGAAAAAAAATCCTCTATAGCAGGGGTAGAGAACTGAAGGCCTGGGGGCCAGATGCACCTGCACACACCCCAGCTTGCCTGCACTGGCACTCCAGCTTTCCACCACTTCCCAGCAGGGCTGGAGCTCACAAAATCTACTAGCCTAAGGCCCACTAAGCTCTGGCGTGCAAGGGGAATGTCTTTCTTCTTCTCGCTCAGGGGCCACATCAGTAAGAATTTGAGAGTGGTGAGGGGGGACGGAGGTGTTTCTTCTCAGTTATATGTGGCCCCCAACTGATTTTTCTGTGGGTCAGCAGTCCCCAACCCAAAAAATTCTCCCTACCTCTGCTCTATAGGAAGAGAAATTTAACTATTAGGGGTTACATGGGTTTTGTTTAAAGAGGAAATAAAAATGTCAGGATGTCTAAAGTATATGAAAATGGTACATTTTGTTAGGGGTACTCTTGCTTAGAGCAAGAACAAAATGGTAGGTATAAAATTTTTTAAAAAGTTATCAAAATAATAAAAAAAGGTTTACTTCCCTTCCCTCACAATAATTTATTTGAAGAACTTAAGGCCACACAGTATTGACACACAGATTTTAGGAAGTATTTAAGAAAAGGATTTCTATATGAAAATCATAATGCATAATTACAATAGCTTGATAAAATGCTTAAGATAATTCAGTCATTACTAAGTAAGGAATAGAATCAACTCCTCTAGACCCAAATGGTTACCTTTACTTTAAAGGAAAAGTAAATTCTAACAAACAGTTCATGTATTTTTTTAAAATTTAAACAGTATATTTAATATTGTTTTGCAAATTTATTTTAAAAAACCCTTATGAACTCTCACTAGGAGCAAAGTATCTCAACAGCTCTTAAACAAACAAGCAGTCCTTTAAGAGTACACATAGAATACAAATTACAGTAAACTTCCAATAATCCGGCACCTTTGGGACCCAGGGGGTGCCAGATTATCAACTATGCCGGACTATCGGAAGGGGGGGCTATG